TTAACTGTAATTTTAACTGTCATTGATATTTATCCTGCCGAAGTCAATATTCAGCGGGAAAGAAGTTGCTTCCTTATCCTGTCGTGAAGAACTTGTGACAGCAATATCTGAGGTGAGTTATTTAATCTGCTACTTTAACTTTTATGAAATACGTTTGTTGTTGGTACAATGGGTTCCACTTTTCTTTTTCAAGTGGAGATTGAATGTGGAATTGTAAAGACTGCAACCACACCTAACCACTGCTGCTGAAGCCGGTCACTAGTTCTTACCTTAGCTTAGACAAGTTTATTACGTGTGCCTCTTGAAACTTAAGCACAGCACATATAGCATTTAATGTCTCCTCTTGAGCTCCAAACAAGGTGAAAATGGAAGCCACCAAACCTCCGTGTTTTCCCTTTTTTAATATAGTCACGTTTTGTGTTGCGCCATAAAATATAATTACACTAAATTAAACCATGTGGATTTTATAAGCGGATAAACCGGGTAACTATATTGTAGACGTAACAATACCAGGAATACTTCGACATCCACTATGCGATGTCTTATGTACTCCTGGTATTATGTGATTTTTAAGTATCACCCCATAGTGAGCTTTGCAGTAATGTTTTAATTAAAATTGATTGAATACCAATGCATGTTGCATAACTAATAAAACATTTGTTCTGCTCTCTTAAGGACATTCAGCAAGATGACATTCAGGCCGATTTGGAGCAAGTGACAATGGCAGTGTTTTCCATTTTCTATTTTTTTTTCTATGTATTTATTTGTTCCTTTCATGAAAATGCTTTGTTCACATGTTCACATAATAATAATTACATTCATAATTTCAACATTTACATGATGGAAAGGAGCAGAAAAGAAGAATACAATTCTTATGTTTTTCTGCCCCTTTTCAAAATCATATCAACCCTGGGCTTTCACATGGTACCAGTTTCACCAACACATTTTTTTTTTAAACAAAAAAAACATTTACATATATTTTGATGCAAATGCATTTGCAACAAATTTGCATTTTAACAAATACATCCAATTACTCAAGAGCTTCATATGATTCAATCATTTTTACTATATACAACTTTTTAAATTGAGAGATATTTTGACAACGTTTTGATTCATTTTCCTGAGCATTCCACAGTTTGACACCTCTGACCGATAAACACATTTGTTTTAATGTTGTTCGTGCAAACTGGTGTTTAAAGTCAAACCTTCTCCTGGAGTTTTCATTTTCTGACGTAACAGTAAACAGTGATTGTATATTTTCTGGTAGTGCTGCATTTCTAGCTTTAAACATGACTAATAATGTCTGTAATTCTATTATATTTTTAAATTTCAACAATTTGGACCTAATGAATAGTGAGTTTGTATGTTCTCGAAATGCAGCTCTGTGTATTATACGGACAGCTCTTTTCTGTAGTAAGGATAACGACTTTATACTGCTTTCATACGTGTTACCCCACACTTCTACACAGTAAGTAAAATAAGGCAAAATCATAGAACAATATAACATTCGCAATATGTGGACGGGTAACATGTATTTAGATTTGTTCAAAATAAATACGCTTTTCGATACTTTATTTTTCACGTACATTATATGTGGTTTCCATGTTAAACTGTCATCCAACACTACACCAAGGAACTTTATTTCATTCACTCTTTCAATAATTGTGCTGTTAATAGATAGAGTGACTTCAGTTTTTCTTTTTTTACCAAACACCATAAACTTCGTTTTTGCTATATTTAAAGATAATTTGTTGTCATCAAACCAAGTTTTCAGTTTTACCATTTCATTTCCAATATTTTCAGCCAGGTCTTTTAGATCATTTCCAGAAATGAAAAAGTTGGTGTCATCTGCAAACAACACAAACTGTAATAACTTTGACACTTCACAAATGTCATTTATATATAAAATAAAAAGTTTAGGTCCGATAATCGAACCTTGAGGAACTCCACACTTGATATTCAGGCATGTGGATCTCTTACCTCCAAATTCTGTATATTGCTGCCTCCCCATTTTCTAAATAGCTGGTTAACCAATTCAAGACTACTCCTCTGATTCCATATGAATATAATTTAGATATTAGAATAGAATGATCTATAGTGTCAAATGCCTTTTTCAAATCAATAAACACTCCTATAGTATATTTCTTTTTATCAACTGCAGTTGATATTTCTTCTACAATTTTGGTTAAAGCCAAATTTGTTGACCGATTGGACCTAAAACCATACTGATTCTCATTAAGTAATTTATTAGTTTCTATAAAACTGTCCAGTTTATTTACAAATATTTTTTCTAATAATTTTGAAAATTGAGAAAGCAATGACACTGGCCTATAGTTATTAAAGTCATGTCTATCTCCATCTTTAAAAAGAGGAATGACTTTAGCCAGTTTCATTTGCTCTGGAAATATTCCC